TGGACCTAAGAGTCAAAATATCCAAGGAAGAAAATCTTCAGTGCATCATAGGATTCCTCGGGAGGGACACCATTAGTGTCTCATTTCCTATTTGTTAAGGACTTGCTCATTTTGCCAAGGTAACAAAACATTAATCATGTTTGGTGTACAGAATTTTGTCCACAAAAGTAAACGAGCAAAAATATATGTACGAATAGATTTATCCACAAAAGATCTATTCGGGCCTGATGAAGGTTTTAAAGGTCTATTAAGGCAAGTTGGGACAAATCATCAATAAGGACAAATTATTCATTTTCGTGTCGATTAAAATCACCAATGCACGGAAAGGAGACTGTTAAGGTTGACAGGATTTGTTGAAGGCAAGTTCCCAATCGTGTATTTGAGTGTGTCAGAACCTTGGAACCGTTGGTGTATAAAATCCGAGAAAAGGTAGAAAGTTGGAGGTTTAAACTGTTTTCTCTAACTTTTGGAAATATGCATTCATTACATTAAAAAGGTCATCGATCTTGAATCACAGTGAAGTTTTAGCAATAGTTAATGAGTACTGAGTACTCAAAATACGCACGCAATTAATTGTAGTTCATAACATAGTTTTTTGCCTATGAAAACATTATAAGATTCTTGGTTACAGTAAGTCATATTTCATGGTCGAGGCAAACAAATTATTTTGCATAAAGTCAAACCTAGAGTATATCACCACTAATTCCTATGAATAGGTTGAAAGGGTCTAACATGATATGCATATCCCAATATATCTGTTTGATTGGTAAAGGTAAAAAGACTTTCTAATTCCATGTAAGTTGGAAAATAAAAATTCAAGTACTTCATATGAATGCATTTTTCATGAAATTGGCAAAAAACAAGTTTAAAGTGGTTGTACATAGAAATTTGAACTTTCATTTTCACTTTCGTATCAAATAGTTAAAGTAGAAATTGAATTCCTCGGATGTACGGACCTGAGGTTTTTGTTTACGATAAGACAGATTTCAGTACGAGACAAACAAATTATTTTACATAAAGTCAAAGACTACGTGTATCACCACTCACTCCAAGGAGTAGGTTGAAAGGGTCTAACAAGATATGCATATCCAATATAATACACACCTAAAGCTTGATTTTAGGCACTTTTTTCTCTCAGTCACTTCAATCACATAAACAAGTTGCCATAGTACACTCAACCTATGCAAGAATTAACCTCTCTTGCATGATCAGTAGGTATTAATTATGGGAAAGACAAAACAAATTATCATGCAATGACACCTGTTGCGCATTTGTTATTGAAATATATGCATGGCTCCCACTCCCACTTCTCACCTGCACAAACCAACCCACTTCATTTGATTTTTTGCAGGTGAATCAGCTTCCAAGAGGAAGATGGGACATATATTCTCCTTTTCGGATTCTCCTTACTGTGTATATATAAGAGAAGTTTTTTGCTCATTAACATACAAAAGCACATATATTTGCTTCATAATTTCTGCCCCAACTTTGTGCTCATTCTCTCTTCTTCTAAAACCTTTTTCGAAGAAAAGAAAACCGGACAAATATCTTGCTCGTTTTTCTGCTGCAGTTCGCCGCATCATCTCAAGCATATATAAAGGTATACATACATACATATATGTGCATATTTGATCGAGAGATAGTACTATAAAGTATCGAGGTTAAAATCATTTTCATTATTCTTGATCATACGCTGTGCCATGCACTATCCAGATACCATATTGTTATGCTTCGACGTGTTTGGTTAGAGGCGCTGTACAATTTTAAAGTCGGAAAAGAGAATAAAATCTTGTTCATCATAATGTATACAACATGCACGTGGAGGTCAAAGATATTATATTCTTGTGCTAGTGCAAGTGCAAGTTGGAAAGAAAATTCCTGACAGCTAGCTTTCTTTCTTTCAGTTTTTCCATAATGTATGACTGAATTTGACAATTTTGTAAATGAAACAGGAGTATAAATTTTATGAGGATCCCATTTTCAGCCTGCAAGCAAGCACTGCCCCTCCAGGTGAATTTTCCCGGGGGGTTAAACATGGATCAATTTATTCCGGTACGACGCCGGAAGGACAAGGTGGTGATAGTAATGGGAGCCACCGGCACCGGAAAATCAAGACTTTCGATCGATCTAGCCACCCGTTTCGAGGCCGAGATTGTGAATTCGGATAAAATGCAAGTTTACAAAGGCTTAAATATAGTAACTAATAAAGTGACAGAAGAGGAATGTAGGGGAATCACTCACCATTTGTTGGGAATAGTGGATCCTGATGTGGACTTCGCAGCCGTCGATTTCGTTCGTCGTGCCTCGACTGCTGTCGATTCGATTACGAGGAAAGGTAAGTTGCCGATCATTGCTGGAGGGTCTAATTCTTACATCAAGGCTTTGGTGAATGATGACATGGAATTCCAGTCCAAGTACGAATGCTGTTTCCTATGGGTCGACGTATCAATGCCCGTCCTTAAGAAATTTGTATCCAAAAGAGTCGAACAAATGGTGGACGCTAATTTGATTGATGAAGCAAGAGAATTTTTCGACCCTGAAGGGAATTATACACGTGGGATCAAACGTGCTATTGGAGTACTAGAATTGGATGAATTTTTTCGAAATGAGTCAATTCTTGACTATGAAATGAGGGCTAGGCTCCCTGAGGATGCTATCGATAAAATTAAGGCGAACACTTGCAAATTGGCTTGTAACCAACTACAAAACATTTTTAGGCTTCGAAATCAATTGGAGTGGCGCATGTATCAATTTTACTTTTCTAGGGCTCAAAACGAAGGAAAAATGAGAAAAAATGGAGAGGAAATATAGAAATGTTGTAACTAAGCTATGGGAAAAAGTTGTGGACGAACTTATAAGTTATTGTTTTATGAGTCTTTGACACGAAAAGTACTTTGGTTGTATTTGGGGGTTCGAGTGTGAGGAATATTATATAATTGTTACAATTTTTCTAATATAATATTTGTCGTTTAGTTTTTCTTCAATTGTGGTGTTCTGCACGTAAAATAATTTATTCTACTTATTGTCGTTATTTAGCTATTTTTATTTCTTCACTCTATGTTCTTCTTTCTATTCTTTAAAGAAGGATTTTCGGAGTGCATCTAGAAATAAATTCAGCTGCTCAACGTAGATAATTGATAGTATTCTATAATGTAAAAGGGACGATGTGAAATATTATGACTAAAACCACGACCACGACCACGTACCTTAGTCCTACCATTTTCCTAATAAAGTGAGATAAAAATTATTGTCAACAAAGTGAGGATTAGATTGCTGAAGAGGAAAGCACTAAAGCAAAGTTGAGGAGTGAGTGGGAATTAGATAATATATATATAAATGGGAGGGAGTGTGAATTCTACACGAATGCCACCAACTTTTACATTATCTTATTGTAGTTTTCAAATATAAATTTAGTTGGGTTCCTTTATTCTCCATTTATTTCAACTTTTCATTTAAAAATGAAATGAAATTGAGGCTTTGGGGCTCCCACTTAAGCACTATGTTCATGTCTTCTTTGCTTATAAAAAAAATTAAGTGATAGAAAAGAATTAGTTTATTAAGAATTTCTTATATACATAAATATATGACGCACAGACTTGTTTTAAAAGACTCATAGAATATCAAAATGAAAAAAAAAATATCAATTTTGCTCTCATTTCCCGTTAAAATAACTTTCTTCTTATTTAAAAGCTTGACGAAATGTATATTCTCCCCATTCTGAATATATTTATTTTGGTCAAAGTATCGGGTGACCTTGACTCCGATTGAGTTGATTTGAAATCTGTTTATATATCTGTTTTTCTTTCGCAACTTCTTCTTATCATATCGTTATATATATGCCGAAAAATTAATATTGTGTTATATTAACTTTAGAAGAAGCGTTGTATCTTGGAAGACAGATGTTCATTTGATCCTGTTAGCGCCAATACAAGGAACGAAATCCATCTTAAGAAGATTTACATTTGCATACTTCGCTTCATTTTATCTTTTTCGAATTTCTACATTTTTTAAACGTCAGTACATCGTCATTTTTTAAACATCATCAGTATATTTGAATTATCATCTTTAAACAATATAGCATATTCAAATAAATTTGACTAAAGAAATTTAGATACGGAAGATACTATTCAAGAAAAAACAAAAGTAACCAATAGAAATGGTTCCATAAGATATTTCCTCTAAAGTCATGTCATAACCAAATTTGATCCTCTTCTGTAAACTATGAAGAAGAAAATGAAAAACACTTACGAAGACAGACATTGGAGTGTTGCTATCGCTATCCGGTAGTTGGAAAATGGTATGACTTCGAAGAATGAGTTGCCAATGGGACACTACATTGTGAACAAAAAATAATGGAATCATAAACCAAATCAAATAAATACAAAGCACCTATCTTGTCTCGTCTTCCATTTCCCTAAGGAATAGTTAGAGAATAATTCTAATTAACTATAATATGTTGGCATTTTGGAGTGGTATTGTAAAGTATAAGATATTTAGCTACACACTAATAGTATGCATAAAAACAAGAAGCTCAGACTGATTTGTTATAAAAATTTAGTCGGCAATCAATGCATCAAATATATGGATAAATAAAATATTACCTTAATGTAAAATAGTAGCCTCGATTTACAAAAAATAAAGAAGAATAAGTCCATCTTTGTACACGCATCTACTAAGAAGGTAGAAGTCTGTGGACCTAAGAGTCAAAATACCCAAGGAAGAAAATCTTCAGTGCATCATAGGATTCCTCGGCCTAAAGTTCAAAACTCTATGTGGAGTAATGCGGCACAATGATGATTATTTCATCTGCTGACTCGATTATCATTTGTTGGGCTGGTTTTGCTGACTTTATTGGGCTGGTGGGCCGAGTTCTTTAGTTACTTGGTGACTGTTGCCTTATTTGATTAAAAGCGCGTTCTTTGGAGAAATGCAATTTTCTTATTGGATTTGGACCGTCCAGATGATGCCAAGTGTCGATCCAATTGCCATTGGATTGGATGACCTTCCGGTGACTACCATATTACTCTTCGTTAGGGTTAGGATTGGGATGACTTTTTCATTCTGTGTGTGTGTGTGTGTGTCTATTCTTCGTTTTCTTCTCTCACACTCTGAACATATAGTCGTTTTTTATCTGATCATTTCAACTTTGTATAGATATTGAGTGGTTTATATGTGTTAAGAGTTGTGTTCTTGAGTGACCATTTGTATAGATTGAAAGGCTTGTGTTGATGAAATATTGAGTGATTTTTTCTGAGTGGCGTGAAGTGTATTCTGGACAGTTCATTGATTCCAGTTATTATAATGATTTCTTCTGGTGGCGGAAGCTCAAAAGGGGATTAGAAACTACTGTTCTGAAAACCTCTTGCCTTAGGGAAAAAATTATCGTGTTTTTACGTTTGTTGTGTAAAAATGTCTAATATTTTGAACCTTGTCATAACACTCTATATAAATTGAAATTGCTCCTAGGTGTATCGCCACTAGTTTCAAATGTGAAGTGATAGGTCACACTAGACCTAACTGTCATAAACTCTTTGTTAGTAATAACAGAGGACGTCACTAGTCAAGTTAAAATCTTAACTAAACAAGTCAATCTTTTAACTAAAAGGATGGTATACTTGAGGAAGATAACCTCTTCATCTAGGAGGCTTTGGATCAAAATAAATGAACTCACTGATCCTGTTGAGTATATTTTCACTGAAAATCAATTGATGGACCTTTTCATTAAACATTTGGATATTGGTCTAAGGTCTAAACTTTTTAGGGAAGATATTGGTGTTTGTGCTACTCATTGAGTATATTTTAGGTGCATGCATTAGTTAAGCTATTATCTTCACATATTTTTTCATGCACTTTAATTTGTTTATTTCGTTTATTTATTTTTACCGTTTTCTTATATTGATTAAAAATAACTTAAAAGTGTAAAAAAAAAAAAAACATTTTGACCATGTAACTTTGAAGTAATGTCATTGAACTTGTCATCGTATGAATTGTGTGCTTGTAAGTTGGATGATGAAAAATTGGCAAACATTTCTATTAATTTATTCTAGAACTTACATGAAGTACTTGATGAGTTTACTACACGTTTAATCTTCACTAAATACACTAATTCTTTGTGAGTGATTCCTGACTACGTGTGTCAGATTCAAGATGACGGTCAAAGATGTGATGAAGTGACCTTGAATGTGAATTGACATTTAACTAGCTAGTGGTGATCTCATTTTCATTTTAATACTCTTATGCATGACCATTTTCTTGTTTTTGCGTTACTCACTTGATAAGTTGTTACTAGTCTATATTTGAATATTATAACATTCTCATTCTTGAGAGAGAGAGAGAGAGAGAGAGAGAGAGAGAGAGAGAGAGAGAGAGAGAGAGAGAGAGAGAGAGAGAGAGAGAGAGAGAGAGAGA